AACAAAAGCCTCTATGATCTTAGAAATTAATGCAGAAAGGACATTTGACAAAATCTAGCACCCCTTTCAGATTAAGATGCTCAGCAAAATAGGAATAGAAGGAAATTTCCTCAACAAAGTGAAAGAGCAAGAGCCAACATCATTCTCAATGGACAAAGTCTTTTCCTTGCAAACAAGGGCCAGACAAGGATGACAACTGTCACCACTTCTATTCAATATTGTATCGGAAGTACTTGCTAGAGCAATACAATAATAGAAGGAAATAAAAGGCCTCCAGATTGGCAAAGAGATGGTTAAACTATTGCTGTATGCAGATGATATGGTTGTGTACAAAGAAAACCCCAAGGACTCGACAAAAAAACCCGTTAGAGCTAGTCGACCAATTTAGTAGGGGGCAAGATACAAGATCAATATCCAACAGTCGATGGGATTCCTCTACAGTAAAAAAGAGAACTCAGAGAAGGAAACCAAGAAAGAAATACCATTTATAATAGTCAACCACAAATTGAGATACTTGGGAATAAACCTAACTAGAGACACAAAATACCTGTACAAAGAAAACTACAGAACAATTTCACAAGATATAGTAAAAGACTTAAATAGAACAATTTAAGTGCCCTGTTTATGAGTAAGAAGACTCAATATAGTGCAAAATACAATCTTACTAGAAGCAGTCTACACATTCAATGCAATCCCAATACAGATACCAAATTCATTTTTCAAGTTGATGGAAAAAGAAATTGTCAAGTTTATTTGGAGAAGAAAGAGACTCCCTAATAAGCAAATCATTTCTGAAAAACAAAAATGTAGTAGGAGGCATAGCACTCCCTGATCTCAAAACACATGGGTAGTAACCAAAACAGCATGCATGGTACTGCCACAATAACAGGCACACAGACCAATGGAATAGAACCGAGAACCCAGAAATGGGCCTATCTATCGTCAACTAACATTCAATAAAGAAATAAAACCTATCAAATGGGGAAATGACAACCTCTCCAATAAATGGTGTTGGCAAAACAAGATTGGTAAGGGAGTCTGGTCGCCTACTGGCAAAAAGCTGCACTGTAGTCCCTGAGGCAAGTGGTTCGAATCCATCAGATGCTCTACTGGAGAAGGAGAGGCAATCTCCTCCTGTCCAGTATGATCCAATTCGATGATACACACACTAAAATGAAAAACAAACAAACAATAAACAACAAACAGGATTGCTATCCACAGAAAACCAAAACAGGATCTGCATCTCATCCAAAAAAAAATGAACTCAAAGTGGATCAGAGACCTGGGAGTATAGCCCCAAACCATAAAGTTTAAAAGATACTCAATGGGACCAAGATTAAAGGCCTGTCTATAGTATAAAGAGACTGATGAAAACAGCCAGAAATCCACAAAGTGGAGCGGATAAAACTGATGAACTGGACTTTCTAAAGATTAAACCCCTGTGCTCATTAAAAACTTTTCCTATCAGGATGAAAAGAAAACCTACTGACTGGGGAAAAAACATTTGGCAATATCACCTCATATAAGGGTCTCATAACAAAAGTTTACAGAATACTACTTGGCCTCAAGAAGAAAAACACTGGTAATCCAATTACAAAATGGGCAAAAGACATGGAAAGACTTCACAGATGAAGACATTTAGACGGCCAACAGACACATGAAGAAATGCTCAAAATCATTGGCAATAAGAGAGATGTAAATCAAAACTACAATGAGATATCATCTCACTGCAGTAGCAGTGGCAAAGTTTATCAGGGCAGCAAGCAATAAATGGAGAGGATGTGGAAAGGTGGGAACTATCATACACTGTTGGTGGGGTTGCAAAATGTCGCAGCCACTCTAGAAGGCATTTTGGCATTTCCTCATAAAGTTGAACATAGAAACTCTATATAACCCAGCTGTAGGACTACTAGGAATATATCCCAAGGAAATGAGAACTGAGACACAAATAGACATTTGAACACAAATGCTCTTTGTAGCATTTTTCACCATTTTAAGAACATAGAAACAACCCAAATGTCCAACCACAACTGAATGGATTTGCAACATTGTGGTACATTCACACAGTGGAATACTATGCAGCACTCAGGAGCAATGGTTTAAAAAATACTATGCAACTTGGGAAAGACTGGAAAGCATTATGCTGAGTACACTAACCAGTCTCATAAGGACAAATACCGCATAAGACCATTGTTTTAAAACTAGAAGGATAACTAGTAAAACATCTATTGGGACCCAAGGGGGAAAGGGATGGTTTCAGAAGGGTGAGGATGGGTAGGGGCAAAATCATAGGGTTGCACAATTTGGTTGGTCCAGGGAAGGGATAAAGGATATGGGAAAGATCAGGCAGAGATCTGAAAAAAGAAAATAGTAATGGTGGAACTAGTCCAATGGTGATTAATTTTATAAAACATAATACATAGGAATGATTGTATGGAACAAAGCGAATGAAAGAAAGTGTATACACAATGTCCATGAATTTTGTGTGACAACCAATAGAAAAGAAAATTTTAAAAAATAACAAAACCCAAGATGTATATGAATGACTTCATGAAAAACCAACGTGCTTTTTTAAACTTTCGTTCAAATCACAAAAATAAATTTTTATAAAATAAATTTTTCAAATACAAAACTCAAATATTTAAGTCTTCTATTAAGAACATTAATCAGTAAAGAACGTCTTTCTGGACGCTTGTAGTCTTTTAAAGAATGATGTAAGCCAAATCAAACTGGCAAAAACTGGTCAGGATAGAGAACTTAAGAGAGCAATGAGTTTATGTTAATATAGGGGGCACAAATCAAGAGGCTGAGATTTTACACACAAGTAAATCAATGTCATTGAACTGTACAAGTAGAACTGTTCTGTTGTGCATATTTTTAGCAGCAAAAGTTATAATTTAAAAAGTCTCAAGCTTTTTAAAAAAAGTCTCAAGCTATACAGAATATCACATCCTTTCCTGTCATTTCCTTTATGAAACACGAAATCAGGACAGCGACAGAGCTTCTGTCATCAATTATTCTTGGAATTTGATGGACAGAATTTGGAATCAGTAACTCTGGGTTCCAGTCCAGTTCCTTCAGTTGAGGAGCTTTTTCCCTCTTTGAAAAGGAGACACACAGAGGCTCCACCATCAAGCGGACTAATGTGCCTTGTGGGGGAGAAAGGTACACAAGCTGCAGTCGGGCGAGGCCTGCGGACGGCCGGGCAGTGAGAGCGCCGGCCTGGGGCGCCGAGGGGCGTTTCAGCAGCTCATTCCACCTAGGGTCTTTCCTCCTCTTTCAGTTTCTCGTGGGGGGAAAGAAGGCCAAGGACTTTGGGTGTCATTTTTACTTTTTCCTCGTTATTTCGGTCGTTCATGCAGCATGCATTGCCTTGGCTCCTGGTGAACGGCGGACACGGGTTCAGGCTCCCGGGAGGCTCCTCCAGGTCGCGCCTGCAGTGGTTCACGTTACCGCAGCCAAGACCCGCGAGTCCGCCCGCGCCTTTGCCTTCCTCTGGGTCCCTCACCTCCACCTCCACCCCACCCCGAGTTCCGACCGCATCGCCATGGCAACAGATGCCACGCGGCGGGCGGGTGAGGAACCGGCGGGAGAGGCCGTGCGGCAGCGGAGCAGGGCGGCGGGAGCGCGGGAGCGGGAGCGGTGGCGGTGGGGCACTCGGGGTGGGTGGGCACACGGGCTGGCGGGCGGCCCCGCGCTCCTGCCCCGGGGCCTCAGACCTTCCCGGTCGCCCGCGCGGGGCAGCACGGAGAGCCCAACCCTGGCCTCCTCCCTCGGCCTCGGCCTAGAGAAGCAGGTGAGACCCCCTACAGGCCTGCAGCTCGGGGTCTGGGGGCGTGAAATGTGCGCGGGGCAGGGGCGCCGGGCCAGAGCGCGCGGTGGAAAGGCTTCTAGAGTTGGAAAGTCCGAGTTCACTTAGTGTCTCAGCTTCCCTGATCTTAAAGTGAGGAGTTGGAAGGAGTACCTTAATGATAAGGAATTTCGTTTCCAGCCCAAAGGTACATATTTTGAATCCACGATGAGAGAAAGCAGGGCATTCTCTTCCCGTGCTATTTACTGCCTCTGAAAACCCCCTGAAGGGTCAGCTATGGATGGTTCTCACTCATCCCAACCTTACTTAACTAAAACAAAGACACTTACTCATTCTTTCATCCTGTTGTAAGTTTTCCCTTCCCCAACTCTGCTCCTCACTCCTCCCCTCCACACACAGTTCCAGGATTTCCCTCAGATTCCTTTTATTTTGGGAAGTTTCCCCTATATCCTTTCACTATGCTATTTGGTTGACTGTTAGTGGTTTGAAGGAACTGAAATCCGTTTTTAGTGCTTTGTCCATTTATCCTCAAAAATGTTTTCCCCACATCCCACTAACACTTTGTTTTTAAGAAAAGCATTATTTCACACTACACAAGTACTAACACAGTTCGTTTTTCCAGATTATTGAGCCAGTGTCCCTGGAAGCATCAAGGAATTTCAAGATTTCTATTTTTAGACAATTCTTGGGCTCTCTGCCCAAAATTTCATAGTATTTTCATTCATAGAATGGTGAATTTACCAAATTCTTGAGTAAAAAATAATTTATCCAATAAAGGCAAACTATTTCATGCAGAGGATCACACTGGAAAAGGAAGCTTGAGAACAGCCAACGAAAAGTCATTTTGAGTAAAAATTCTTGATTACTCATTCCAGTGTACTCGGCATAGTACCTAGCCCCAAGTAAATAGTGAATCAATGTTTATTTCAGTCAGTATCACTACTTAACTCTTTGTATTCCAGCTCACTACTTAGCCAAAATCATGAATGCGTTGGGGCACCTCACCTTCATAAAAAGCCCAAGTTTCAGCATTTTTGTCTGAAAATGTTTTAATCTGAAAAGTAGCATCTGAGCTACTTCAATCAGAGAAACTAACACTAAAGGCTTTACCAGTAGCAAAAATATTTAGATGTTTTACAGGTTAATAAAGGTAAATGTTTTTGGACTCTGAATTGCTTTTCTCCCCCACCAGATTAAAAGTCAAGACCCCTAATCCAGATTCAGAAGTTTCTCAACATGGAGAACCAGGACCAAAATAAAATGGGGTAAGTGCTGACAAAATTCTGATTATAAGAGGTTGATACTTCAAAAACTCAAATTCTCATATCCTATTGTCATATTTTAGAAGGAGGAGTGGCATCCACTTCCATAATAGCTTGCCTTCGGAAACCCTATGAACCTGGAGAGAGGATGAGAGACACCCAAGCGTTGAGGACTCTCCTTCATAGGGTCGCTTTGAGTCGCCTGCGACTCGACGGCACTTAACAACAACAACAACAACAACAACAACATTGTCATATTGGTTCTGACTTATTAGTGATTGTCCACTGGGTTTCCCAACACTGTAAATTGCAACTGGAGGGATCTGTTCATCTTTCTCCCTGGGAGCCACAGGTGCAGTTTACTACAGGCTGCTCCACCAAAGCTCCCTGTGCCCCAAACTCCTTGGTGATACCTGAGTTTTGAAATGCAATATTAATAAAAACATGTGCCAGTTATTTTTCATAAGATTAAAAAAACTAAAAAAATCCATTTTCACTGAGTTGGAACTGGCTCCTACTCGACCTGCAAGCAGGTTTTCCAAGGCTACAAATCACATGGGAGCTGCTGGTACTTTCGAACTTCTGTTCCTTTGGATTGGCAGCCCAACTCCCTACCTACTTGGACACAAGCGCTCCCGTGAGAGCAGCATAAGATTTCTAGTGATTGTAATTAAGAAATTACGACATGAGTTTGGTTTTGCCCCTGTATGTGAAAACGGACATTTCCCAACATTTAATTACTTGGTTTAGTATCTAGGTGTGGCTGACACTACCACCTGTTACCACTACAGACCTGGTCCCACCCTTAGGTGCAGCATCTACTGGTCAGCTTGCTGTAGCAGGTATCCCAAATGTCCCTCTTCTCTTGGCCTTAATACTGAACTCAGCACTTCAATAGAGTCCCAAAACAGATCTAACTACACAAAACAGCAATAAGGATGGATACTAAACAAAAATTTTGTGTTGAGGTAAGGAATAGAATTTTAATCTCATTCTCCTTCCTACAGATTTTATCCAATTCCTTTTCCTAAATACTTGTCCACACTCTTCCCTGCCATCAGCACTAAGAAGTTTGACTATTTTGTTTGATTATCCCACTGACCTCAGAACCATGGGTACAGGTGAGTGGAGGTGTACTGTAGTGCCTCATCTTGACTGTTACTGAACTTGGCATAAGGCAGTCACCCCAGGTGTCTCACTTTCACTTCTGCTCAGATATAATTTAAGATCAATCAGCCACAAAGGAAGCTGCCCAAGTCTGAATACGTTGCTATTTTTGCTCCAGCTTCATACTTTTCTTTACAAAAATACCTGCTAGGTATTATTCTCATATTAAAAATTAAAATAAAAAAATACAAACCCTAAAAAAACAAGACTAAGTGTGTTACAGTCCAAGATCATGTAATGAAGAAATGCTAAAGTGGCTTAAATAAGATTGAGATATATCCTGATTTTCACATAATAGAATTAGAAAGACTTACTCCTTTTGATTTTACCTTAGAAGTGGTAAACAACACTTTTGTTCACTTTTTCTTGGCCTAAATTGAGTCATGAAACAACATCTAGCGTGCAAGGAAGGCTGGGAACTGGTCTTTAACGGGGCAGTCATTTGGACAGCTTAAGCATGTTGTTGTTGTTATGTCGTCAAATCTCCTCTGACTCATAGTCGCCTTAAGTACAACAGCCCTAAACCCTGCTCTATCCTGTGCCAATCTTATTGTCTCTGATATACCTACCCCCATTACCCCAGTCACTGAATCAATCCATCTTATCGAGAATCTTCCTCTTTTACACTGTCCCTCCACCCTCCCAAGCCTAACATCCTTTTCCAAGGACTGATCCTGCCTTGCAGCATGTCCAAAGTCAAACGAAGCCTCAGAATCCTTGCCTCCAAGAAGCTGCCTGGCCTCACCCTCTTCAGAATGAACTTGTTTGTTCTCTTAGCAGACTAGTGTATATTCAATATTCTTCTCCAGCACCACAGTTCAAAGGCATCAATTCTCCTTCTATAATCCCTAGTCATTGTCCAGCTTTCCAGTGCATAACAAGTAAATTGCAAAGGTCAATGCTTGTATCAGGCACACTTTAGTCTCCAGACAGACATCATTGCTTTTCAGTACTTTGGAGAGGTCTTTGACAGCAGAGTTTCCCAATGAAATTTGTCCTTTAATTTCTGGGATGCTGGTACCAAGAATGTTGATTGTGGACCCAAGCAAACTGATGCTGTCAATAATCTCAATCTCTTCACCATCTATCATGATGCTGCCAATTGACCCAGTGGTGAGTATCTTTATTTTTTTGATGTTGAGCTTCCATCCATATTGAAGGCTCCAGTCCTTGACCCTCTGCAGCAAGTGCTTCAGGTCTTCTGCAGTTTCAGCAAGCAGGGTTGTGTCATCTGTATAACACAGATTCATGATGAGTCTACCTCCTATCCTGATACCACATTTCTCCTCATAGAGCCCCGCCTCCCTGATAATCTGTTCCATATATAGATTGAAAAGATATGGAGATAGGACACATTTCTAGGTATACACTCTTCCCAATTTTGAACCATGCAGTGTTTCCTTGCTCTGTTCTCACGACTGTCTCCTGGTCCTAGTATAGGTTTCACATAAGCACAACCAAGTGTTCCAGGATTCCCATTCTCCTCAGAGTCAGCCACAGTTTGTTGTGATCCACACAGTCAAATACCTTTCTTTGCACAGTCAATGAAACACAGATAGACATTCCTCTGGTACTCTCTGCTTTTAGTCAAGATCCATCTAACATTAGCTATAATATCCCTAGTATTTTGGCCTCTTCTAAACTCAGCCTGCACTCCGGCAGTTGTCTTTTGATGTGCTGTTCCAGTCGTTTTTGGATAATCTTCAGCAGAATCTTGCTTCCATGTCATAGCAATGATACTGTTTGATAATTTCTGCACTCTATCGGGTCACCTTTCTTTGGAATGAAAACTAATATAGATCTCTTCTAGTCAGCTGGCCAGGTGGTTGTCCTCCAGATTTCTTGGCACAACTTGGTGAGTACACCCAGGGCAGTGTCTCTTTGTCAATATGTCAATTGGTATGCCATAAATTCTTGGGGCCTTGTTTTTTGCCAGTTCTTTCAGAGCAGCGTGAACTTCTTCCTTCATCACCAGTCTCTTGCTCATATGTTGTTTCATGAAATTATTCTGTGTCTGCCAATTCCTTTTGGTACAATGACTCTGTGTACTCTTTCCATCTTCTTTTAATGCTTCCTTAAGTATTGCAACTCAAGGCTTGAATTTGTCCTTCAG